ATATTTTTTTTTTTTTATTTATTATCTAAGTTGTAGGGTACATGTGCTAACGTGCAGGTCTTTGTTACATATGATATCTTGTGGCCATGGTTGGTGGTGCTGCACCCCATCAAGTCCGTCATTATCATCAGGATAACTCCCAATGCAATCCCCCCCCTCCCCTCCCATGATGGCCCCAAGAGTGTGTGATGTTCCGCGTTCCTGCGCTACGCGATCTCATGGTTGTGGTCGCTCGTAGACCTATTTGTGTGAGTAGATGCAGATGGGGGCACAGGGGCCTGGGAATTCTGTGGTTGCGTTTGCTAGTTTTCCTTGTGTAGTGTAGTGGATAAGAAATGATGGTTCCAGCAGCTCGCAAGATTCAGTCGCCCATGGATTGATTAAGAGTGGCTGGGCCCCCGCTCGCCTCTCCGTAAAAGGACACTTAAGCGATCTTTTTCTATGTTAAAGTGTGAGTTACCTTCCTGTAGCTCGCGCGCGATGGTTTTGTGTATATCATAAGTGTGCCGATTGTTGTTTCTTTAATCTTCACAAAGATTCTGCTCTTCTGTCTCGTATTCTTTTGTGTTGGCCTCAATTCCTTGCGTCAGCCATAATATGAGATTGTGAATAGGTTGTCAGGTAGCCAGCTATACTATTTCGTTGGACCCTTATGTGGCTCCTTTGTATGCCAGTCTGAGATGCATGTCTTAGATCCTCTAGGGGGGGCCATGTTTTCTTCTATCCCCTCGAGTATATGCGGCTGGTCTCGTGTTTATTGCGTACATTGGCTTAGTTAATCCCACTCCGTTCGAGTCGCTGTGGCTCGTCGGGTTGTGCCCCGCCTCGTCGGTCGGGTTGGGTTGTTGTGTGTTGGGAGTAGATTATATCGAACGTAGATGTACCATATCGCCTGCCAATCCCAAGTGTCATCGTGGGGACGATTATTTACTGCATAGCCACCAATATTCGCGATTTAGGTAATCATCGCACTGCTACATAAAGAACTCCACCAGTCAATATGCTTTTATGAGGTACCTACACGATACATACTGCACGATAGAGCAAGAGACGGAGTGATGGTGATCAGACGCGCAAGTTGGTCAAGTCTAGAAGTAGTAGCAGAATGGATAGAGAGAGCTCAGTGGAACAGATGTGTTGTGAAGCACATGGAATAGGTACACAGCGCCGATATACATAATGCGATGTTGAGTGTTCTACTGTACCGCTTATAGTCCGCGCGCACCATTGGCATCGTAACGCTCGCGATACACAAATCATAAATTCTTTACGCAATCCACTAATGTGACGAAGGACAACGAGGGAAATGGATTGAGAATTCACCGACTATGTGGCATAGTATTTAGGTGTGCGCACAGGACTGATCCAATGTATAGAATTCGAGTTGTATTCTGAGACTAGAAAGGAAGACTAGTCGAGCACCCGTGCGTAGACTGCCAGCTCACCCTGGTTACCTGACTGGCCTATAAAGCAGGCTCTGGCATCTATTGTCTGGGCTGCTGTTGTGTTGAACCATGGGAGGGTTCTAGGGAGTCTAGAGAAGGAAGGCTTGCTGAAGGCCTCCAGGAAGAGAACAGGGCAGAGCATGCCCTTGCGGAGGGAAGTAGTCACTCCTCCAGGCCTTTGACTCCCCAGCCTTCCAGGTTGGCATGTAGTCCTGTCTCTCTGTGTGAAAGCCTGACTTCTGGCTTCCCAGGAATACCAACAGCAGATCCATGTACAGGTTGGGGTGCCTTGTTTGATGAGTCCTTTACAGTAGAGGGAGGGGGACGTGTAGAGAATCGTCTTCCTCTGAGGGATGACCCCATGCCTGCCGTCATTGACAGTCTGATGTGTTGGATGAGATGATCCAGGAGAAAAAATTAAATGGAGGGTGTTTTTCCTTTTTCTTGAACTGTGCTGTATTTCCTAACTGAACTCTGCCATTGCCGGTGTGAGCCATGGGCAGGAGGTCAGCGAACCAAGTCAAGGCAATTCATTGCTGTTTCCTACCTGAGGCCAGTTTGGACAAGTTTTTCTTCTGGGGTTGTAGGCGCTGGGGACCAGCATTGGGCCGGCCCCCTCCATCAACTTGTTTGAATCGACTTGATTAAACTTAAGACAGCTTGGACTCTATGTCACCGATTGCTTGAGGTCCACTCCAGACCCTGTTTGCCTGGGTGTCAGCAGCAGAGGCTCAGTTGAAAATGCAGAAATCACCGGTCTTCTGTGTCGCTCGCGCTGGGAGTTGGAGACTGGAGCTGTTCCTATTCGGCCATCTTGCTCCACCCCCCTGGTCACTTCTAATATATTTGTGGTTGGGTTAGAGTCTGACCATATAACATTTTTAAAGGCATAGCAATGCCACCTTTAAAAAGGTATCCAACAGTTATATCTCACAAAAATACAGTTTATTGTGGCTTTGTTTCTAATATCAAAAGACGGGAAAATATGTAAATCTCTAACATTAGTGGGCTACTTAAAGTATGGAACATGCACAAAATAGAGTATCTTGCAGCCAATAAAAAAGAATGAGATCTACCTATGTATGCAAATATAAAATAAATTCTATGGTACATTTTAAATGAACAAAGCAAACTGCAAAACATTGTGTATAATATGAATTTGTATGTTTAAAATATCTCCACTTGGCTACAAAAGAAAGTCATAGTTGTTGCTTCTAAGGTAGGCAGTGGGAGACATAGTTCTGAGATATAAGGAAAACTTACTTTTCATTGAACTTTTTTTTTTTTTTTTTTTTTTTTTGAGACACAGCCTAACTCTGTCATTCAGGCTGGAGTGCCGTGGCATGCTCATGGCTCCTTCAGCCTCAACCTCCTGGGTTCAAACAATCCTCCCACCTCAGCCTCCCTAGTAGCTGGGTCTAGAGGGGTACACTACCACATCTGGCTAAATTTTGTATTTTTTGTAGAGATAAGGTTGCCCAGGCAGAAATATTTTAATTTTTTACAATGAGCATATGTTAATTTTTAGTTAAACATAGACAATCAAACGGCAAGGGGGAGGGCTTTGGTTCTATATTTCATGAAACCAGTCAAAGTCACTATCAATTTTGGCTAATGGTAATCAATTCAAATTGCAAATTAGCAATTAATTTATCTTGAATCTATCAGCAGCATTTCAACTTCTCACTAAATCTTACTAAGAATTTTAACCATATGTCAAACAGTTATTTCCTTGGTCATTCATTCATTGCACCATTCAATTCATACTAATCGTGGGCATGCGCAATGTCATACGCCATGCTGGGACACAGGAACACAGAAGTGAGCAAGAAAAAGAATTCGTTGTTACCTCTTTGAGCTCAGAGTCTAGCAGGAAAGACCAATCTTCCCACTAAGTAACTGGAGAAATGTTGAAGAGCATTGTAAGAGTACTTGTAACATGGTGAAACCCCGTCTCTACTAAAAATACAAAAAACTAGCCGGGCGTGGTGGCGGGTGCCTGTAGTCTCAGCTACTTGGGAGGCTGAGGCGGGAGAATGGCGTGAACCCAGGAGGCGGAGCTTGCAGTGAGCCGAGATCACGCCACTGCACTCCAGCCTGGGAGCACAGCGAGACTCCGTCTCAAAAAAAAAAAAAAAAGAGTACTTGAAGGGGTGCTTACACAATCTATGTATCAGAAAGACCTCAGAGGAAAGGACATCTAGCTGATACCTCTAGTTAACCAGGTGACTGGTGAGAGAGAGCATGTTCTAAGAAGAGATGGGCAGATGGTGCCACCTCAACGGTAAAAGAGAGCTCTACCTGGCACAATCAAAAGCCGTTGGGACCAATGGAGCATCAAGTTCGGACAAATGAATGGCGATAACACCAGGGAGCAGATCGTAGGGAACTTGAGCAAGGTGGAGGACCCTGGACCTCACTTCAATGACAGGAAGAACCACAGCAGGATTTTAATCAGGTGTGTTAGTCTCCTAGGGCCACTTTAACAAATGACCACAAACCAAGTGGCTTAGAACAACAGAAAAGCATTTTCTCACAGTCCTGGAGGCCAGAAGTCTGAAACCAAGGTGTGGTGAGGATCATGCTCCCTCTGAAAGCTCGAGGGGAGAACCCCTCCTAGCCTCTTCCTAGCTCCTGGTGACTGTCAGCAATCTTTGGTGTTCCTTGACTTATAGACACATCACTCCAAACCCTCCCTCTGTCATCAGATGGCCTTCTCTCAGTAGGTATCTCTGTCCAAATTTCTCTCTTGTAAAACCCCCAGTCATAAAGAATTTAAGAGCCACCATGATCCACTATGACTTTATATTAAGTTGATCACATCCAGAAAGACCCTATTTCCAAAAAGTCATATTCCCAGGTTCCACAGGGAAGTGAATTTTGGGGGGACACAATTTAACCCAGTACAGCAAGGACACAATATAATCTGATTTGCATTTTATAAAAACTATTCCAAGGATAAAGAGGGAAAAGATAGGGAGGGAGCGAGACTGGAAAGATAAAGATTAACTTCACATACATCTTTATTATTTTTGAATTAGGAGATTCATTTTGAGACCCAAGCTGCCCATCAGACATTGAGCTAAGAGCTGTTTCCGTGAAATCTCATTCTGTCCTCACACTGCCCTGTGAAGATAGTCAGAGATGTGACTTTACCCGTCCATGGTCACACAGCAGTGCCTCAAACCCAGATCTGGTAGGCTCTAGAGCCTATAAGGTTTCCATCCTCCCAGGCTGAAAACTAAACACATTCTCAAGGCAATGAGACTCCTTTGACGTGGATTTCCAGGAGGCGGAAAATACTGCACACTGGCATGGTTTCAAGCACACTTCATATTCTTTATGCAAAGCCAGGGCAAAAGGTGAATAGTTAACATATCCTAAAGAGTAGTCATGTTGTAATGCAAAGGAATCTGAGGGTTCCAGTCGCACTACACCATGTCCAGTGATTCAACCATAGGTCAGAAATATTCTTTTTAAAAAGAGACCTATGTAAAATCCATGCCTCACAAACACAAGCCCATATTAAAAGAAGCCTGCTTTTTATAAAATGAAGAAACTTGAAGCTATCATCTGAAAAACTGAGACACAGAAATGAATACAGAGGAAAAAAGAGGTAATTGGTGGGAATTGTTCGGACTGATAGCTGATATTGATCAGAAACAGACTGTGGGTCTTCTCCCTGTTTCCTGCTTTACCTCCATAGTCCACAATTGTAGAGGTAGGTTGAAATTTTAAAAAACAACAATGAAGACCAAGGTTGTTCTCGCTTGTGCTCAGTAGTTTTATTTATTTATTTATTTATTTATTTTTTTTTTTTTTTTTTTTTGAGACGGAGTCTCGCTCTGCCGCCCGGGCCGGAGTACAGTGGCCTGATCTCAGCTCACTGCAAGCTCCATCTCCCGGGTTCCCACCATTCTCCTGCCTCAGCCTCCCGAGTAGCTGCCCGCCACCTCGCCCGGCTAGTTTTTTGTATTTTTTAGTAGAGACGGGGTTTCACCGTGTTAGCCTGGTTGGTCTCGATCTCCTGACCTCGTGATCCGCCCGTCTCGGCCTCCCAAAGTGCTGGGATTACAGGCTTGAGCCACAGCGCCCGGCCTGTGCTCAGTAGTTTTTAGGGGGTCAAATGAGTATGGTGGGTGTAGGTTACAGCTTCTGTCACTTATCACAATTTTGTCATATCAAGGTCTAAACAGAGCACCCAACTCTCAATTTCCTCTTTTTTGTTCCATGACTTTTTCCTGCAATATTAAAATAGAAATGAAAGAAGGAAAAAAGGAGGGAAGGAAGGAAGGAATGGAGGAAGAGAGGAAGAAAGGGAGGAAAGGATGAAGGAAAGAATGAAACTTGAAAAAAGTAAATGTGAATCCAAAAGAGAGGAGAAAACAATGATTATTCTGATATGTATTACTAGTTTAAAAACCGAACTGTAAATCAGGTTATAATTTATAAACTGATTCCTAAAAATAAAGAATAAAATACATTTAAAAGCAATTAATAAGCAATTTTTATCTAGGAAGTGGGTGATTTTTGCACAAGAGGGAGAGAAAAGCTCCAGGCTTTGCCTCATCTCCTAGAAGCATCCCATATTCTTAGATGTGACGTTGCCTTGGTAACCACAACTTGGTGACCTCGTTATTTCAACCTAATCCTGCTTTGAAATTATAGTTGCTCCACCCTTTTGCCTGGCCAGCCTGATAACATAATCATTGTAAATGAGGATGGGAAAAAAAACAGCAGGAGATAGTCCCTCCGGTGACACGAGACCAGTCTCACCTTATCATGAAAATAGACGAACAATTAAACGGCATGAATCTAAAACCCTAAAAGTGGATTTTCTTATTTTTTATATGGTTTGTTATGCTTATTTTCAAAACCTACTGGTGGATTCAATGTAGCAGAGTATCTTGATATTACTATATGAAAATGGAAAATTCCTATTTGTGTTTAAAAAAAAATAAGAGCTAAACTGTCAAAGGTGAAGTTCTTAATTATGCATTTGTTTTGCCCAACAGCTGAATAGAAACCAGAATCAGAAAATAATTTTTTAACAAGTAGACTGGGAGTATCCAGGTTTGTTTGTCCAGCTTAACTTCCTCTGGCTAAAGCCTCGCAGATCAGTTGTCATCTTGAATTCAGGTTCCTTTCATAACAAAAGAATCAGGAGATGACATTACTTACATTCTGAATGCATCAAGTCTAACTATACTGTAGTTTAAAGGAAATATAATTTACTCATTTGTTTCAATTTGTGTGCTTTGAGATCTCTGCCCAGAAAGGAAGGAAAATTCCATTCTCTTTCTCCTTCATTTCCTCCTTTAAAAAAAAAAAAAAAAAAAAAATCCCAAATGGCTAGGATACACTAGTGATAGAGTTCAGATCTCCATGAAATGTTCATGCTGCTCCCAACTCATACATGGAGGAGTCTGGGTAGCTACGTGGCCTGCATCCTGGGCTCCTGGGCTCCCCTTCCAGGACACTCCCCCATTTCTAATTGCCACACGCCAGCTCACCCATCGTCTTTCCGAAAGATCCCTAGTTGTGGCACATGGAGGGGAGAGTTACTTAGATGGATTCCCTTCACCCATTCTCCTGCTGGCAACAGTCCTGCTTCCTCTGTCTCCCCACTGTGTGCTTCCCAAAGAATAATTCTTTGCTACTGGTGGATATGCTGTTGGCCTTCCCAGTGGATGTCAATGGCAGCTCACAAGTAAAAGGCAAGTTCCCACTCAAGGCCATTATCCAGAGCGAACATGCCCAGGGGATAAGGCCACCCATGCTGGCATCCCCTCCTGCCAGCAAAAAGAGAGCCACTGCCATGGTGGGAGGAGGGAATGGCCAATGGCTGGCTAATGGATCTAAAGCACAGCTAGATAAGATGAACAACTTTTAGTGTACTAGAGCACTGTAGGGTGACTATAATTAAAAGCAACCATTTATCATATATTTTTAAATAGCTAGAAGAGCAGGTTTTGAATGATCCCATCTCAAAGAAATGATAAATGTTGGAGGTGATAGATATGCTAATTATCCTAATTTGGATATTCTACATTGTATACATGTATTGAAATACCACAATGTACTCCATAAATATGTACAACTATTATGTGTCAATTAAAAATAATACAAAAGAGAGCTGTCACCAGCTATACCTTATATCTATAAATACTATTGTGATATAATCTTAAGAATGTAGGGAAAGATTGTAGCTTCTTGAAGAAAATATGCTGCATCAATTAAAACTTCACTATCAGAGTGATAGTATCAAATCTCTAAGAGAAATAACCTGGAACGGTATGCATTTGACTTAAGAGTATTTCTTCCCTTTTGCTGAGAGGTGAGTAAAATTAGCATTTCATAAAGTGTGAGCTCCAGGTATACTACACCAGGCCATTCTAAGCCCACTCTTCTCTTGTTTACTATAGCCACAAGGAGTAATAATAATGATGATGATAACAGCGAACATTCAGTGAGTTTGCATACTTACCATTTGCCTGATTTTACAGAGGAGTGGCTGATACACAGGAAGCAGAATGTCTTGATAGCCTCCCAAAGCTGGCAGGAAGTGGCAAGCCAAGATTCAGATGCATGTAGCTACTCAGCTATTCTGCCCTCCTGGACCTAACTGTAGAACTAGGACCAGTGGTTAGACCCCATGAGCAGACATATCAAAACTCACTCTGAAAAGAAAAGTCTAAATAGCCCAAGCTGTCCAAAGACAGAATAGACCTTGACAGTCTCAAAAACAAAGGAAACACACAAAGCATGAAATCTAAGACCAAATATCTCTGACCTCCCAGAACATATCAAAAGTGCAGATCTGAGTATAAATACTATACCCTACTGGCCTAAGTATTCATCAGATGGTGTGTTTTTGG